TGACAATTATAATAAAGATTCCTTTATATTTTATTTTAATTGCGATAGACTGTAAATGCTGATGGAATCAAATTTTTATTTATATATATAATAAATTAATAATTAATAATTAAATTGTTATCACAAACTTTTTAAGACTATCCACAATATCATTTAATTAATCTTTTCCGATTTTCGATAATTTTCTATTCAGATTACGTAGATTGCATGCGTAGATCCCATGTTGTTGAGTTTTACTTATATCATGGATAATATTTATAAAACTGTTATATATAATATTAATATAATTTATTATTATTTAAAAAATGTGTAACAGTGTTTTCACATGTGATTTAAAATATATTATAATACAATTAAACGCAATAATTTGAAAAATGTTTTACAATGGTATCTGGAGACACGGTAGTGCCTCGGCGCTAAGACATGACGTGAGATACAGCCGTGCTCTTTTAGTAATTACAACTGTCATATCATATTGTCTATAGAATAGAATCATACGCCTATTCAGCACGGGACACATACGCCTACATTGAACACTTTAAGATGTATATTTATCAGTTCGTGAGATTAGCAAACAATTCACAAATATTTCTCTGATATTATTTAATCTATTCGTGAACAGTGCATAAAAAAAAAATTTAAAATTCGCTCTCGAATACTTACGAAAATTCAATATGTATATGCAATCTACATCGAATGTTTATTTTGAGTTTGTCGCTTTCCTTTTGATCTTACTGCTCCTACAGCGAACTTGTAACTGCACGCAAACAGCAAGTGAAAAAAAGAAATAACTGATCGCGAATTATTTATTAATAGTTTGCTATTTACGAACTGTTCGTCAATTTCGATAAAGACGCATCTTTTACGCGTACAACGTATATGCAATATAATATAATTCTGCAGAATGTAAATTTCATACGTTGAGCATTGTTCTTATCTGTAGAAGTTACGATTTATAATATCGAATATTACAACTCGGAAAATACTATAAGAATTTACAGTCTATGCGCGAACGAAAATATCAGCATTTCCCTACGGTATCTTTCAACATACTGAAAGACATTTTTCTTCCGAACCGATGGACTTCTTGGACTTATATGATTATCGTGCAAAAGAGGGACCCCAGGGATATATTGGAACAATCCTTTCTCGATTATCTGCTCATATCTGAAACCCTTTTCTACTTCATTGAGCAGTTAACACCGGGGTCAATCTTACCGTATTACATATACACGGTATGATAACGTAATATTCATATTTATGACCTAATTCAATATAGTAACATTTAATATAATAACTTGAACTAAACCCTAACATAACACTAAACAAACAAATAGATGAATGTAATGGAAATTTTCTTGTTGATGTCACAGCGAACCAGAATTGGTAAAATTCTATAGTTTTTTAATCCAGCGGAAAAATTGATTTTTATTACCGATTTTTTAAAGGTTTTTTTTAATTGATATTTTAATTCAGTATTCTAATGTATTACCACGCATTCTAATTTAGCATCAGTTGAATGAGTGTTTTTCCCAAAATTTAAGCTTTATCCAAAATAAAATATTTATAGAGTAGGAATTGACGTAACAAATAAATTAACTTTTTTATTTAATATAAGATATCGAACGGTAAACGTGAACCAAATTAATCGGTAAATTTTTAATATATATTCTGTTACTTTATTTTTATCTTTTTTCATTAAACTATGTTCAGATTCCCATCCGAGTGTCACTCAAGTATCATATATTTTATCTTTATTGTTTAATAAAATTGTTAAATATAGATAAAATGATATCTATAAAGTGCTCGAGTGGGAATCTAAAACGTGTCTAAAAACAGTTCCGATTCTATGCCTCGTAGATACTATATGACAATGATTGCAATGATATATTCAGAAAAATTAGTTGCCATCACGAAAATTATTCGTCATCGTTTTTTTTGGATATTGGCCGATTCGACTAATCAAGAGAACCAAGCATTTTGTTAATTCTTGATTCTGGCTAGCAATTTGAAACCCAATGAGTATTCATTAGTTTTAGATTACTCATTATGTTCCTTTTATATCTCATATTTAAAAAAAAATTAAACTTTAAAATTATTACTTTTTATTACTATTTTATGAATTGTATATGTATATACATGAACAATTTTTAGATTATTCGATACAATGAATCGAGACTAATCTAACCATACTATGTCCTCTGAAAAATATGTTTTGAAAGTTAAAGATAAGATGAAGAAAAAGGAAAAATTGTTGTTCGAACGGAACAATATTATTTTTTTACCTTCGATTCGTTAAAGTACGGCAAAAATTAAATACAAAAAGATCAAAAATAATTAATTAAAAATATATCCCACTTGCAGGATATAGATTATTACTGTGAACAAATTTTATTTGATACTAATAAATTAACATTCAGCAAAGACACATCTTTTTTCCTTCTATTTTTATTTTTTTTATCGAATCAGTTCTTACAATAAAACTAGAGTTGTGATCATCCCGAATCATCCGATATTTTTGCTTTCATAGGTCGAACTATTGAGTTAATTACTAAGTCTCGACGCGTGAGACAAAGAACAAAGAACACATATGTATGCATAACCAAACGTTTCTAAAATTTGCCTTTATAGCTTCTTGTTTGCTAAACAATGGGTACGTTTCGAGTTACGCTTAAAATGCATGATGTATCGTTTTATTCTTCTTTATTATTTGGTGAACAACAAAGACAAATGATACATCATGCGTTTCATGCGTAAATTGGAACGCATCCAATATCTACAATACTATAATGCCTACTGCACGTTGGACGCGATGAACGACGTGCGATGCAAAGCAGAACTCTCATTGGAAGTCACTCGTCGTTCATCGCCCATTACGTCCAGGGTGCAGTAGGCATTAGTCGAATTTATTGTTAATCCGAAAATTTATCATAGTCGTTTGTGATAATTATCTGTCTGTGCGTCTTGGAACAGCAACTCAACAAGGGACTGATTATAGTCAGTCATAACTAAATCCGAAACGATCTCTCGGTACCAACTACATCTTCTTCTGAGACTCTACGGAGCGTCATTCACTTGAAATTGTACCACGGGTGTCCTTTCCTTCAATTGTACGTGTGTCGAGCCTCCCTTGAAGATTTCACATATGAAGTAAGAAAAAAATCAGCGAGGTGAGGTCTAAATCATGAACGAGGGTGCATGCTACGTGGAAAATTCCATAAGAGAAACCTGACAGTGCATAGCTAATTGTTATATGTAACGTAAAAACAAGAGGAAAATCAGTTTCTTGGAACAAAGGAAGAGAGTAGGTTTGACGGAATTGAGCAAGAGAGATGTGAGAGAGAGAGAGAGAGAGAGAGAGAGAGAGAGAGAGAGAGATTTTTGGAAAGAGAGAGAAAGAAAGGAGAGAAAGATAAAAAATAAAGAAAAAGAAAGAAATAAAAGATAGAAATAGATATAAGAAAAAGGAGAAGGCATTGTACAAGAATATGAACGGGTTGAATGCATTGTACAAAAATATACACATGCATTGTACAAAAATATGGACCGGACGAATGCATTGTATAAAAATATGCACGTGCATTCGACTGGTTTATTTGCGCTGAAGACACAGTAAAACGTAGAATAAAATAGATAGATAGAGAACGAGAGAGAGAAGGAGAGAGAGGGAGAGAAAGACCGAGTCAGCGAGCGAAGGAGGGTCCGTGGGCTGGTACCCATCCGACTGGAGGTGGCAACGAAGAGGTGGGACTCTTCATCTCGTTCTCCACGCGGGGCAGTTACAACTCGACCGTTTAAAGAGTCGGATTGCCCGTTCGCATACTTTTTCAGTGCGTGTATCAATGTGTGCGCACACAATTATACATGCGTCGCGGCTGCCACCTGCGGAATAACGCGCACGGAATTCGCAGTGCGTGCGTTCTCCATATCGTGAGCTGTAAAAGGATACAATTCCGTAAGTGAATTGTTGACACACGTGCGAGAGGGTGCACGACCGATAGGAAACTCGTGATAGGACGACGATAATGTTGGGAAAATGCATTTTCACGTGATAGTCTCGTACAAAATGTCATTCTGCAAACGCCTGACAATAATTTAAACGCGTAAATTGCGTGTATGTGTCCTTTCGTGTTAAATTGTGTCACATGTGTGTATCTGCTCCTGATTTATTTCGAATATAGTTCTGTCGCAAAGAATCCCACGGGAACATCAGGAAGTAACAATCGTTAGAACAATTATGTGAGAGTGAGGCCACATATCCAAAAAAAGTTTAACTCCATTTTGAATACCTTAACGTGAGGTTGCTGGGGATTTTTGGAGACTCCGATATTACTCTCCAAACTGGCGCTTTGTCTAAAATTACGAAAGGTTATTATCATAACATTAATTGTGAGTAAGCAATAAAGGTTCGGTGATATTTAAAAGAAAGTTAAATCATTCCTAAAAAAATTAAAAAATAACATGAATAAAAAAGAAAAATCAAAGAAATCAAACAAAATTAAAAAAATATTTTAATATTTTAATTTCATTAAGATAAACTGTAAAAATGATTATCTTAATCTTTCTTTTAATTTTGCAAGTAAAACAATATATATATATATATATATATATATATATATATTACTTAATTTAAAATTTATGAAAATTTGTAGTTACGCTACTGTCGTCACATTCAAATATTTTACGGAACTTATTTCAAAACTAGTATTAACGTTCTCATGTTGCTATTAGCTTTGTCTAACTTTGTCTAGCTTTGTCTAACTTAAAGAGTCGTCTGGTTCACCAATATACTTATAGTATTGAATGCTCGACCTTTTCGTTAGTTATCTCATTGCGTTGTCATAGCGTTTTAGCAGTTTCGCCATCTTCGATTAATTCAAGAGTTCGAAGTATTTATACAAAATCGTAATAGTACAAATCAGAAAAAAGCCGCTAGTGAAATGAAAAATTCCGCTGTCGTGAAAATCGGAAAGACAAAATAGTCATCAGCACTACAACGACTACAGCCCGGCCCAGAGTGAAATTTTTTTTCCAAAATGAGAAGATTCTAAGGTATTTTTTTTGCATTATGGGATTTTGGATCCGTTATTCTAATTAAATAAGAATATTGTAACTAGGGATCTTCTTATATATGAATATTTTCTAAATTGTTTAGAAATCTTTTTAAGTTGTTTAATATTAGCAAAATTAAAGAACGACAAAATATTCATCCTGTATCTCCGGCATACTGCTTATCCTTTCAAAAAATTATTGATATATCTAATAGATAAAATTTTATTGTATGTAGATAATTCGATGTTCGATAATACGATGTAGATACTGTTGGAATTGAATATACATAGATTGAATATATGATAGAACGAGATTTTTTTCGTCCATTTCTGGCGATAATGTTTATATTTCTGAACAGCACATTGATTATTTAAAGATCGTGCTTATATTCTCAAGAAATGACTGTATCGTGTAATTATAAGTATATCACTGCAAAGAGATATTGTTTGCATATGATGTTTGATCAATGTGTTAAAACAATGCTAAGGTTTAGTTGTACATTTCGGCCGATTGCTTCCTGTATTTCTTTCTTTTATACCAATCGCAACTCCCATGCAGCCGGGTCGTGCATGCCGATCGGCATTTAGGCTGCGCGTGAGTTGATATAAAAGTAAGAAGCGCAGGAGCCAAGCTGAAAATCAGCTGAAATGTACAACTAAATCTCAGTATTGTGTTAAGATATTTTTTTGCCGATATTATTTGATTAGTCAATAATTTTTTATAATATAAAATTGAAAAATAATTTTTCTCTTTTTCTAAGAAAAAGAAATAATTTAATTTTTTAAGTTGTGTCACTTCTAACATAGAAGTAGGCAATATTATTATTGAATTAATCTGAATTAACTAAAAAAATTGAGCTCCAATGATAAAACTGCATTGAGTATTCAAAATTAATTCTAATGTACATTAAATATTGATAAAAAAAATCAGAATTATCTTCAAACAATAAGAACGTGCTTACATGCGAATGATATGCATGCACGCATGTAATTAAAACCAGAGAGAGACAGGCAGAACCAAAAATTTTGTTTCTTTGTGGAAGATTCGTTGAATTCTTTTGAATTAGTATACATTCGTTGTAATTAAAATGAAATAGAATATATGAAGTTTGGCGAAAGCGAAATAGAAAGTTTTAAAATCGAGGGCAACAATAAAGAACAAGTCTTAAATTCATCAAGAGACATGCCAGTTCTTTGTCGCTGCATTGGACTGCACTAAAATTTTCTATCTCAATTTCGCCAAATTTCAAATATATGTCTATTTATTTCATTTTTTTTTTAAGTATGTACAATGAGTGTATACTGCGAAGAATAGATTTACAATTACAAAGAACAGATATAAGTATTCTGCCACTTGTGCATGCGCCAAATGCAAACAAATGTGACGACAGCAGCACCTGCTAGACCAGTCAAAGACCGGTGTGATTCACGTTCACAACGCTTAAAAATTATTTCATTATTGCTAATGTTTAAAAACTCGATTCTGTCAACTCCTAATCTTTTATTCTTATTCAACATTCAGTGAACAGCAAAGATAAAATGATTGACAGAGTTTGGAATGCACCCCTGGAGTGGAAATTCAAAAGTTTTTCGCTCTTTTTTAATAGTGGTAATATTTTAACTTTTTAGAATGAGATTTAACTCCAAAAAATTTTAAGAGTACGGGGATACAGATGCGAGAAGTTATAGCTAATATTATTAATTATGTATTTTATTATAAATATAATTATATTAAATATACATATAACAAAACGAAATATATAATTAATGGTATTATCGAGGCTATAAAATAAAAACTTACCATATTCGCATCCCATAAGATATTGTTGCAAGTGTATTTTTTTAAGTGGTAAAAAATTTTTAACGATTTCAGACTAATCTCATTCCTGAAACAAAGCGCTATGAGAAAACAGTTATGAAATAAAGAGTAAAGATGGTAATAGGTACTGTACATTTCAATTTCGAGCCAAAAATTACAAATTTTTGACATTGCCTAATTATCATATTCCAGAAATAGTTGGACCAATAGAATACTTAATAGATTTAATCGATATAACTTCGGTTTTAATTATATTAGAAAAGTATCTTCATTTCTTTTTCTCTACGTATCCTATGAGTGGAGATATTACAATGCGAATTCTAAATTAGCACATTTATATTTTAAAAATATCATTATCATCACGTTTTCATTGCCCAACGAAAAGTACGTTGTATTTTTCGTTTTTTATCTTGAATTATACTTCAACTAAAAATATGAAATTGCAGCTTTCCAAATGTTAAGAGAGTCATTATAATTGTCTTTTTTTAAATATCTATTAACATTACGGCTGCCACCTTTGATTATTTCATTGGAGATCAATGATCCTTTTGCCGAAGACTTCACTATCCCACCGGAAATTCATAACTACAAAAAGGTTCAGATTCAGTCAGAGACGGCAAAATTGTTATACATTCTTCATACTACATCAATTTGAAATAATTAATCATCTCACATTTTTTCCGTCAGCCAAGAACTAAAGATTTCTTCAACAGACTGATGCTCTTCGAAAATCGGAGAGATGGCAACATAATAGAATAACATATATTTTTTGCACGATTTTCCTTTTTTGAGTAACAAAATTATTTTTTATACACGGACGGCTAACTCTTTTTACATTCTGTTAAATAATATTTGAATAAAAGTTATATATCGCGATCATAATATGTAGGATAAGCAGAGCTATTCCGTCATTTTCAACCGTAAAGTAATATAAAATTTCAATATATATATTATAATACAAACAATATCTTTTTGCATTAACGTGCTTATAACGACTTTATATCATGATTGCTTCTTGAGAGCACAAGTATATCCTTTAAATGTTCAGTATACGCTGCTCAGAAACATAAACAATATCAAGAAATGGACGAAATAGCTATGCTCTACCTATATTTATGTATTCATGTTAATATATGTTTATTTTATTTTATTATTCATGTCGTCAATTGTACATTAAGTATCAAGTATCGCATTTGAATCAATCATTTTCAATAAAGTCGCGGAAAAGAATAATCTTTTTTTTTTTTCCGAAAAGTTATGAGATTTTAAGCAATTCTTGTTAATAAATACAAGAACCGATAACGTATAACTTTAAGCAAAAAATTATAAATAAATCTAATTGTAAGTAAATTTATTTAATTATAAAGACATTTACGCGAATGAATTTATTTAATTATAAATATTTGCATATATCTATCCAAAGTGAATGCAAAAGTATCAAAAACATTGAAAAGTTATTTCAGTTTTTTATCATAATTTTTTATATTTGAAGTATATGAATTAAGGCATGTATTCAAACTTCTAAACAAACGTATAATTTTCTTGCAATATCACAAAAAATTACAAAAAGATATCTACAACATTGAAATGATTTCCGTATATAATTCATAGATATCACATTCCACGTATGTTAAAAAAAAATCTGTTTATGGTAGGTCGAACAGCAAGAACTGTCCACCTAGATCAATATTAATGAACAAATCACAAAGAAAAACCGGTAAAATTAGTTTTTTAAAGAATGCACATTCATTGTTGGATAGTTGACGTTTTCTGAAAATAGGAAACAAGGAAAGGGTGTCGTGGTCCGCAACATTGGTTGAAGCGGGACAGTATAAACGTAGAGGGTGGAGAGAAGGAGAGAGAGAGAGAGAGAGAGAGAGAAGCAAACAAATACGGCTGTACGCGAGGTACAGTAGGAGGGGATGACGGTGGAGAAACCGAGATGGAAGAGTGGGGAAAGGAAGGAGAGTGATCGCATATGAGTGAGAGAACGAAAGAGGGAGAAATAGAGCGAGAGAGAGGACAAGTTAAAACGGTACGAGTGAGGGAGTGAGCTTGATGAAGAAAGAGGTGCGCGCAACTAACTTGGACGAAGAAGCTGTGAGATGGAGGGGTATGTATGAAGGCTTAAGAGAGGGACGAGTATCTTAGGAGGGGCGCCTATAACGTCACGGCGCATTCACTCACCGGCCGTCGCCGACGCCGCTCTGTGTGTGGCACACGCAATCCGCCACGATACGGTCAGTTCTCTCTCGACTACCCCCTCGCGCGCGCTGTGGCGCGCACCCACGCGCTTCCCTCCTCTACGTCTCCTGCGTGATTCCTCTTGGCCGCGAGAGATACGCGTAACCCCCCCGCACTATCCGCAATCCTTTACCCTCTGCGCGTCGCGGAGTGAATTTTCGCCCCTGTGGTGTCCTGGAGCGACTTTGTGAAACTTGAAAGCCCAGTGTTTACTCGCGCGGTGTTTACCCGGTAGTACATGCGGCGGGAGTTAA